TGCTCTCGCCGAGGCGCGGGCCTCATTTTCGGGCCCCGCTCGTTCCGAATCGTGCTCCCGCTGCAGCGCTGGCCTCATTTCCGTGCTTCCGCTCGTTCCGAATCGTGCTCCCGCTGCAGCGCTGGCCTCATTTCCGCGCTTCCGCCCGTTTCGACTCGTGCTCCCGCTGCAGCGCTGGCGTCATTTCCCGTGCCATGCCACAGCACACGCGCACACACGCACACACCACCACCACCAACCACACCACCACCACCACACCACCAGCACCACCACCAGCACACCAGCACCACACCACCACCACCACAGCACCACCACCACCAGCACCACCAGCACCACCAGCACCACACCACCAGCACCACCAGCACCACCAGCACCACCAGCACCACCAGCACCACCAGCACCAGCACCAACAGCACCACCAGCACCACCAGCACCACCAGCACCACCCCAGCACCACACCACCAGCACCACCAGCACACCACCACACCACCACCACCACCACCACCACCACCACCACCACCCACGCAACCCACGCACGCACGCACGCGCACCACCACCCACTAGTCCGCGGATAGAGAAAATCATGGTAAGGGATGGGAGGGTGGGGTAGGACGTCAGATATGACGCGCGCGCACCTAGCTTGTCCTCCTCCTCCTCCTCCTCCTCCTCCTCCTCCTCCTCCTCCTCCGCCTCATATCCCTTCCGGGGCCAACGCCGGTCAGGAACTTGAATTGCTGCTCAGCGTGGCGAAGCTGCTGTCCCGGCGACACGCTGTGCCCTGACACGGATACCGTGTCGCTCCTCTCCGCGGGGCGGGAGGCCGGGAAAAGCTCGGGACGTTGGTGCCTGGGGGCTGAGACGCAGACAGCCTGCCGCGCCGAAGCGTGGGCGGCCAGAACTGGCGGCGCGACACGCTGAGCACATGCTCCTGCCTGCAGGAGCGGAGCAGTCAAACAGGTCCACCTTCGTCCTCTTCCATTTCCCCCGCTAACCTCTTTCGATCCCGGCGCCTTCCTCCGTTTCGGCCTCCGGGGCCGGTCACCACGGGACCCTGGGACCATCAGAGACGGATACGGGATGAGGAATTGACCCTGGGGAAGATGTCGGGAGTTCTGGGGCAGCGGCTGGAAAAAAAACAGACCGTCGGGTGTCTGAGTCCGCCTCCTTCCTTCCCTCTCCTCCTTCCACAGGTTGATTCAATCAGGAAGGGTGCGACCTCGTTCTCCCCAAAACTTCAAATCTTTTCTCATTGCCCCTGCCAAGTGAGACGGGATGAGCTTGCGTGTCAAGCACCCTGAGATGTGCATGTATCGATCGTCGGACACCTCTGGCTGTAGCTTGCATGACGAGCTATTCCGAGGACACCCGACCGACAGACAGACCGACCTGTATTATCCTCCTCTGACCGTTTCCCCCTTCTGGAAGGGGGGAGGGGGATGAACGAGGTGGATCTGTCCGGTTGTGCTCCTCAAAGGTGGCACTCCCCACGGCCCCCCTGCCACCGAGTGGTGAAACAAGATAACGGCGACGGCCTGTAGGGTACGAAAAGGCCAATCAGCTAAACGGCTGGGTTGGGTCCTGGATCCACGGTGGCTCCCTCCCAAAATGCTGCTCTCGCTTCGCACGTGATCGCTAAACTTATCAGAGTGACGAAGCCGAGCGGTATTGCAGTGTCATTGGGCGCGTGGCTGAAATGGGCTTCCGCGGTGCGGATGACTGCTGCTCTTATCACTGTGCTGCTGCATTGTTGTGTTGTTGTCGTCGCCCTCGCCCGCGGACAGCACGCGACCCACCCACGACCTGCCAGCGCCCCACCCACGACCCACCCACGACCCACTCGCGACCCACCCGCGACCCGCCCGCAACCCACCCGCGACCCGCCCGCAACCCACCCGTAACCCGCCCACGTTGCTTTGCTTTGACGAACAACTGCTCGGCGTCAGCGGCGTTCTTCTTCAAATTTCGTTCGAGCCTCGCAGCCTGCCAGACGCCCCCCCCCCCCCCGGCCTGTCCTTTTTTCGCAGCTGCGGGGGCTATGGTACAAGCTGCATCGATGGAGGCCGACGCCCTCGGACACTGATTGTGCTCTGCAACGTCACACTGCGAGTGGGAGCCCGATGGCTGCTGCGCGTGCCATCACCATCAAGGGCGTCCCCATGCGAGCTACGGAACCTGCTTTGTCCTCCGAGCGCTGGCCAACGTGAGCAGGATCAAACCTGCCCTGCCTTTTACAGAAGTGGCCTGGGACTCGTACTGCTGTTTTCCACAACGTGATGGGGTGGGAGGAGAACGAGGAAGCCGAAGGGACGAAGCCAGCACCCGATGATCGCCCCGCATTTGCGTAATGCCAGCAGCAAAGGGAAGCCTCCACACGAAAACGCTCAAACATCGCATCGGCGCAACGGTTATGCAGAATTGTTCGGCGATGTGCGCTGGGTGGCAAATCTAGGGGCTCCAGAACGGGCGGCCAGGGGGAGGTGTTCCCGCCTGGCCTCAACGAGCGGCCATGATGGCCTCTGGACCAGAGCCAGGGGAAGAGACAACGCAGGCGGAGGAGGACGAGGATCACGTCGTTACCCTCCTCCTCCGCCTGCGTCGCCTCGTCTCTTCCTCATCCTCTTTCCCTTCCTCCGGTTCCTCGTCATAATGACGAGGGAAATAGGGGAAACAAGGGGGAGTAAAGGAGAATAGGGATGGGGAGGGGAGGAGGCGGATGAGAAGGAAGGAGGAGAATGAACAGGAGGGGAGGGAGATAAGAGGGAGAAGGCAGAGAGGGAGAAGCAGCAGGGGGGGATGTGGCGGACGAGGGAGAGGAGCATGGGTGGGCGGGAGGGGGAGGGGGAGAGGGAGGACTAGAACAGGACAGCAGCTTCGCTCTTTTCGGCGCTCGCAGTCTGCGCGGAACCGCTCTCTTTGTACAGTGCTCGCAGTCGCAGCGGGGAAGCAGGGTAAATCCCGCGCCGGTCAGCAACACTACGCACTCCCCGACAGAAGAGCACTGTAACTCCTCGCCCCCCTCCGCGACCCGCGCGAAAGTTCTGTTACCATCCTGGGCGCGAAGGTCTGTGAGGGGATTCTCTCTTCCAACCCTCCAAGAAGGCTCCAAGAAGGCTCCAGGTAGCCAGTGATGGCCTCGAAGATAGCGCAAGATGGACCAAGTTGGCTCAAACTGATCTCCAACATGCCGCCAAGAGGCCAAAATACTACCACAAGAAGACTGGAGAGGAACTCTCGGAGCCTCCCAAAGAAACCCCTAGAAGGCCCAAACCAACCAAATACGTAAAGTGAGCAACATCGTTTGCCGTTTGCTTTCTCGCCGTTTCGTTCCCGATGGGCGTCCGCGCCTACAAGATTAGCGAGGCGCAGATGTATGTATAGATTCCCCGCCTGGGTAACCGACTTCCTGGGGCCCCAGGGATCGGTTGATTATCATAGATTTGGGTCCCAGGGCGGCCAGGAATGTTTGCTGGGGCACGGAGGAGGGGGAGCCCCTGAGCTACCCCAAACGGCATACACGCGAGTGGAATTGAGAGTAGAAGCGTCCAGCCTCCCACGGCGCCCGGCCACCGTCTCCCAAGGTAAAGGAAGATCGGTATCCAAGGTGGTTGGTAAGAACCTATCTACGCCTCGAGAGGGGCTCAAGACGCCATAGCTTGCCGAGGCTCCAGAAGCTAGCATGCTTGCCGAAGCTTGCTTTGATCTGGCCACTAACGTGGTGCCATCAACAAACACGACATAAATCATCCAGACCTTCTCCCGACAATCACCGCCGATGATGCTCTCGTACCCCTTCTTCACCCATGTCTCTTGTATTGCATTATCGTGTTCCTGACTGCATTCGCGAATAATGCGGGTGACTTAGGATATCCTTGCCGAGCACCTCGAACAACATCAAAGTACGTATGTGTGTTCGCCTACTGTGGTCAAGTTGCAAATACGCCCCTGGCCATTGCGCAAATCCTGACTGGCCCACAACTCGTTCTCACTGATTCTGGCTTTCTGCAGCCCCGCAAACCACGTCGCATGCATTATCTTGTCGAATGTTTTTTGATACCTATCTGAAGCCACCCAAACAGTCCCCCCCCCATTTAGTGCTTTTCTCACTGATGATACGCATGCAGTGGACTAAGTCGCAGCATCCGTAACCCTCGCGAAATCCAAAATACTCCGGCCCTCGGAGCCTATCCATGATGCGATCCATTCACCTCAAAAGCACGCTGCTGCCCTGAATCATATGCCCCAGCTGAGATTTCAAGCGTCCTGGCTTGCAACCTCCTGGCCTCAGTCACCCTCCCAGCCCGCAGAATCCGCCGGCCCCCTTGTGGGGCCACCAGGCTGTAGGCGCGGGTTCGCAGTTTCCTGTACCAGTTGTAGCTTGTAGTTTCCAGTGTTACAGTTCTGCTTCTTGCTGGTTACTGTAACTAGTTGATTGACCGCGCGAGGTGGGGGAGGCCCAAACAAGATAGAAGAAGAAAAACAGCATGAACACAAATATTCGGAAGTCCGTGCGGATTCCTCGGCACGGCACCCCCCTCTCGCCGGCGCGCGGCGCGCGACAAGGGCAGCGCCGAAGGCGCCGCCAAGGCGGACCCAGCGCCGATCCAAGACGTCCGCGCGGACCTCCCAAAGCTTACGTTTCTGCAATTGTTCCTTCTTCGGCTCAGGAACTCACCCCACCTGCATGGTCTCGTTTGCCCCCCCCCTGTTCGGTGGCAACTCATGGGAGCTTGCCGGCTCTTGCGAATCGACGCTGATCGACGCTAAATCGACGCCAATCGACGCTCAATCGTCGCTAATCGACGTCGGCGCTGCCTCCTCGACTCCCGGACGCCATCACCGACGCTCCTCGCTCGACGCTAAAGGCGGAACTAAGGAGGTATACCAGGCTCCCATGATATGCTGCCGAATGCTTCGACTCCGGCACTCTCCTCACCTGCTCGCCGCCCCCCCCTTGGGGCCCCTAGAAGGCGCACACGGCGGCCCCGCGGGACGCGGGATCCTCACGGGCACCGCGCCACCCAGGCCGCCCCCGCGAAGCACAGGGCCGCACCCAGCGCCACCGCCAGCAGTTCCTGCCAGCGTACAAGAAAGCCGGTCCCTTGGCCCCAGGGTTCGAGCAGGGAATCGACTACAGAATTCATGATTTACCCGAAAATCGATTTGTTCGTCAAGCCTACGAAACATGCGCACAGTGCCCCGTAAATCTACGAAGCGTTCTGCGCATTCGCTTGTAGACTCGACAGAAGCAGCAAACTTCTGGGGTAAATCCACCATGCAGTCCATCCCCTACTCGAAGGGCTTATCCCCTGGGCCAGCGTCTCATCCTGGGCATGGTGAGGCTTCGGGCTGCGCGCAGACAGCCCCTCCAGGGAGTCCTGGCTGGCCTCGACAGGCCCCCGAAGAGCCCGGGGGCGGCCTCGAAGCCCTGGCGCCGCCTCCGGCGGCGCCCCCAGGGCGCTCCGCGCCCCCAGGGTTGGGATGCTGCTTCCGCCCAGGGCTGCTCCGGGGGCCTGTGGATTGGCGGCGCGCAGAGGGGAGCAGGGGGAGGGGGGAAGGCTTCTTAGAAGGAGGCTGCACCTTAGAATGCGCCAAGCCTTGCATCAAAAGACGAGCCCCGCGCCTTCTCAGAAGCAGGGGTGCTTCTAAGAAGTCTTCCCCCCTCCCCCTTACCCCCCTCTGCGCGTGGCCGAGTTGAGGCCAGCCAGGACTACCAAGGCATACTGCCTCTCAGTCCCGCAGGCTACTGGGACTGCCTGAGGCTGTCTGTGCGCAAGCCGGCATCTTGCCTCACAGGGCATACTGTTTTTCAGTCCCGAGGACCGTGGAGGGCCCAGGGACGCGAGAGTCGACGACGCACGCTCCCCTCTGGAAAGACGACGCAAAGCGGCATGATCATAGGCTGTAGGAGGTGCGCGCGAATTTCGCTCATCGGCGCAAGACCTCCCTCGGCGGCGCCAGAGGCGCCGCCGAGGCCAGACATCCGGCTGCTCCATTTTTGTTCGATGCGCGGGCCCCGGGAATCCGGACCACTGACCTGCCAGTGTTTCGTCCCGAGGCGTTTTTGTTGATGCTCCCGAGGCCCGGCGAGCGCCCCCAGAGGCCGAGAACGGCCAAGAACCGCCCGCTCCAATGTTTCTGGAGCGCCGGATCTCTGGGAGAGGGACCCAACACCGATCCAAGACATCCGTACGGCCCGCCGAAACCTTGTGCTCTGTGCCGCTCTCCCCTCCTCGAGCTCCCGCGGGGCGACCTCCAGGGGCTCGTGGAGGACCCAAAAAGAGGCCAAGGACGGTGCAAGAAACCTCCAGACACGCTCCCTTGACGAGACCCTTTTCCGTCAGAGGCGTCCTCCGATATGAGTTCTCCAATGCGCGGCACCAGAGGTAGCGATCTCTTCCCAAGTGCCAATTTTCGTTCGCCTCGGATCCATTGCTGATGGCCCTATAGGGCCCGTCAACAGGCCCAACAAGGTCGGACGTCTGGGTTCCCGAAGTCCCGCCCCTTTCTCATCCTGAGCCGATGTTTGACGGCCCCACGGCCCAGCGACCCCCAGAAAACGAAAATGGGAAGAAGCATCCCGCCAAGATCCTCTCACATCCGACGTTGCAACACAAAATGCACGACAAGACCCTAGACCCGATCTTTCCGCGCCACTTTTCGAGCCCCCGGGGCCCAACACCTAGCGAAAACCTCCCTTTTGAAAAAATAGCCACGCCAAGATCTGAGAATGGTTGTTTCACAGTGTGAAAGTGATGGGCAACGCTAGGGAGGGGACTGGCACCAGGGGGGGACACATCAATCGGCGATACATCGCAGACAGATCGGCGACAGGGCCCCGATCGTGCATCCGCACGTTCTTGGGCAGGTGCGGGCTATCGGGCCTCTATCGGAGATCAGTGGGCGACCGTGTGTCGACGCGTCCCGGCCCCCCTATCGATTGCGCCCGGCCAGCCAGCCGGTGGCCACTCTTCGCCGGGGAGGAGGAGGAGGAGGAGGAGGAGGAGGAGGAGGAGGAGGAGGAGGAAAGGAGGAGGAGGAAGAGGAGGAGGAGGAGGAGGACGAGGAGGAGGAGGAGGAGGAGGAGGAGGAGGAGGAGGTGGGCCCCCCATCTATGCCTATCCCCCCCCCCTTATCGCTGCCCCTGAGAGGGGAGGTCTTTGGTTTCCTTCCGTGGCGGTCCTGCGGGGTGGCCTCCCCGGGCTGCGGAGCGGGCCACAGGCCCCCCAGCCTACGAGAGAGCCAGAAGCCGCGTCGAGGGTGCGCCACCGCGGCAGGCCCATCGGCGTGCTGCGGCTGAAGACCCAGACCCCCTCGAGTCATCAAAAAATCTCGACGCGAGGCTTGTCGCTACTTTCGGCCTCCGGAGGCCCTCCCCGGCCCTCGCGGGACCGTCAAAAAACTTCGGGACGAGAAGGCGGTCCAGGGGAATGGGGTCGAGGCCTCTGAGGGTCGACGCTAGGAAGAAACCACGACGTCGGGAGCCTGGGGAAGCGTCAGGCTTTCGTGGCAGGGGGGCATTATGTCGACCCCTGTCCCAGGCTTCGTGTGGTCTCCAAGTGGGCCAGCAGTGCGGGCCCAACCCTGGGAGTCATACGACGGTGGGGCGTGCATCCTCGACGGGAGTGCGTCCGAATAGCCCCCTCGGGCTGTGTCCCAGGGTTTCCCTCCTTTTCTGAGCGGCTTCATTTTCCGTCGAAGAGTCGGGGGTTGGAGGTTGGGGGAACAAACCGCCTGCGACTTCGGACGACAACGAAGGAGCGACACGCTGATGGGCACACCACGGCAGCGTGCCACTGGCACTCGGCCCTGAGACCTGACGTCGCGAGCAAACGTAAGGCACCGCGACAACTCACGACGGGGCCTCAGACCCCGTCCTCCTGGGGACTACGTCGAGCCCGATCGATCCGGGAGACGGTCCCATGGCCCGAGGGCCGGGCCAAAGCTTAAAGCGCCCTCTGCGCAAAACGTTACAGCATCCCCGTCACCCGGCCGCCGCTTGTCGAAAATGGAGCCCCTACTTGGGCATATACACGTCGTCCATTTCTGATCGTGCTCATTTCCAAGTGTGCTCGTTTCGATCTGTTCCGGGCACCCTAGTGGCCAGGAAGAGGCCCAGGATAGAACGATCAGAAATGAAAGGGTCTTGGCCCCCCAAAAGCAACGAACTCTCGAAGAACTAATGATTCACAACGTGTACTGACCCAGGCCACTGCAAACCCGGGACCGTCGGGCGCCTGCCAGGATCCCGCAACATCCTGCCGCAAACCGCCCCCCGGCCCTGCAGGAGCCTGCAAGATCCAGCCCAAGACGTGCGACGTCGTGATTCTGACTACCTACCAGACCACCCCAACCCAACCCGAAGACCCGAATTTCGGGTTGGGGGGGGTAAGGGTTCCACATGTGTTTTTTCGATGTTTCCCGACCCCCCCCCCCCCCCCACTAGAAATCGAGGGCAAATCTGAGCCTTCGGGTTGGGTTGGGGTGGTTTGGTGGGTGGTGAGATTCTTTCCATGCGGGGCCCCTATGGAAGCCCGGACCCTTCCCCCGGGAGACCGCTTCTCCATCCCGAGCCGTGTTGTTGACGGTCCCGCGAGGGCCCCCCGAGGCCGCAATACTGCCCCCAACAACCTCCCGTCCTGGTGTTGGAGCGACGCGATCTCGTCGTCCTCCTCCTCCTCCTCCTCCTCCTCCTCCTCCTCCTCCTCCTCCTCCTCCTCCTCCTCCTCCTCCTCCTGTGTGGGACTGGCCCCCGTCTCTTGCGCCTACTGCCTGCCGGAGAGGGCCCCGGCGCCGGCCTCGCTCTCGCCTCCTCGATCGCCCATCCTCCCCCTCTCGCCGGGCTCGGAATTCCGAGCTGGGCAGCTTTTGCGCTGGCGCGTCTGTGTGGTTCCTTGGGCTTCCCCTGGGCGTCGCCCTCGGCGGGGGGGGCGAGAAGCGGAGGGGGTGGAAGGTGCACTGCTCGAGCTCGAAAGGCCCCCTCCTTCGTGGGCCCTGTCTCAGGGGGCCCTGCAGGGCCGCTCTCCTGCAGCCATCGCTGCCCCTCCGCTCGTCGCCCCCCCCCCCCGATGCGGGACGCCCAGTTCCCAGGACTTCCGACTCCGGCCGGGAGTGGCCTCTGCCGGCTTCTGGCTGGGATCCTCTTCTTGGACGCCCGAAATGGGCACCGAAAGAATGGGTACAATGCCCAACAACAAATGTTGTCCCGAACCAACAGCGGCCGCTGTTGGGCAGGCGGCCTTCTGTCTCGAATGGACACAGGCCGCGGCGGCGCGGACAGCGAGTCCTGTTCAAAATGAACAGGAACTGCTGTTGGGCATTGTACCCATTCTTTCCGTACCCATTTCGAAGTCTCTGAGAATCGGCGGGTTTGGAGGATGTATTGGGCGCCGCGGCCGCTCCAGAGCGTTCCGGAACGCTCTGAGAGCGCTCCGGAACGCTCTGGAGCGATTTATCCCGATCCTAGCCCTGTTTTAAGACGCCCAGTTCCCAAGACTTCTGACTCCGGCCGGGAGTGGCCTCTGCCGGCTTCTGGCTGGGATCCTCTTCGCCCCCGTCTGCAGAGGGCAGAGGCGCCCGGCGCCGAAACTGCAGGGAACGCCCGAGTCGGCAGCAGCCGCCGGAAGTCGGTCCCCGGACGCCTCGCAGGGTCCGGTCCTGGCCACCTTCTCGAGCTGCGTCCCGCCGTGGCGACGAGGGACGCCCGCGAGGTTAGAAATGGCTCGAACCTCGATTCCTCGGTCCTTGGAGGCCCAGCTACGACGACAACGGCTCCCGCTCGATACTTCTCACAATTTACCCCGAGACACCCTGGCCAAAGAGGCCCCCGAACTCAGGAACGGCGCTCTCGCTCGAGACTTTCAAATCAATCAAGTTGGCGGAGGCCAAGCCAGGCGCCCAGATCTCAGGGTTGATACTATTCATCTTGAGGTCGACACTCACCAGCATCATCTAAGAGGGCTGACTTGACCGCGGAGGCGGTGGGGCCGTGTTTGCATCGTCTCCGAAAACAACAAAAAGTTAGCTGGCGCGGACCCCAAGCAGCGATTCCTTACAGTCGATGTGGCGCAATCTAGGTGGTGCAATCAATGCGGTAAAATCTGTATGGTGCAGTGCATGTGGTGCAATTTATGAAGCTAAAGCAATGAGAAACAAAACACTGCGTAGCAGCAATAAGCAATGCAAGGAAATGCAAAGCAACGCCATGCAACGTAGCGCAAAGCAGTGCCCAGCAATGCGACGAAATGCGAAGCAATGCGACGCAGCGCAAAACTGTGCAAAGCACTTCAAAGCACTGCGAAACCATGCAAAACAACGCAAAGGAAAGCAAAGGAATGCAACGCAATGTAGAGCAATGCGAAGCAACGCAACGTACCGCGACAGAATGCGCACCAATACAAAGCAATGCGACGCAACGCAAAGCAATGCAAAACAGTGAAAAGAAATGCAATGCAGACCAGTGCGAAGCAATGCGAAGCAAAGCAATGCAACACAACGCACTGCGAAGCAATGAAAGGCACTGCAAAACAATGAAAAAAGGGATGCGAAGCAACGCATCGCTATAACCGAGGCAACGCGAAGCAACGCAAAGCACCGCGAAGCAATGCGAAGCAAAACAGAAGCAATGCGAAGCGAAGAGCAGCAAAGCAATGCAATGCAGACCAATGCAAAGCAATGCAACGAAAAGCAACACAATGCCAGGCAACGCACCGCGAAGCAATGCAAGGAAATGCAAAGCAGTGTCAAGCAGTGCAATGCAATGCAGACCAATGCAAAGCAATGCAACGCAACTGCATGTAAGCGAGTGGGCCGCTGCAAAGTAGTGGAAAGCCATGCAAAGCCATACGAAGCACTGTAAAGCAAAGAAGCGCAACGCACAGCGACGCAACGCAACTCAAAAAAATGCAAACCACTGCAAACCAATGCACAGCAGTGCAAATCAATGCACAGCAATGCAAAGCAATGCAGAACAATGCAGAACAATGCAACGCAATGCAAAGCCATGCAATGTAAAGCAATGCAATGCAAGGCAATGCACTGAAAAGCAATGCAAAGCAATGCAAAGCAATGTGAAACAATGCGAAACGCGACGCGGTGTCAAGCAAAGAAGCAGTGCAATGCAGTGCGCAGCAATGCAAATCCACGAAGAAGCGACGCAACGTCATGCGAAGCAATGTAAAGAAACGCAGCGCAACTCAAGCAATGAAATACGAAGCAACGCGAAATAATGCAAATCAGTGCAGTGCAGTGCTGTGAAAAGCAATCCAAAGCAATGCAGAGGAATCCAGTACAGTGCGAAGCAATGTAAAGCACTGCGAAGCAGGGCAAAGCAATGCAAAGTAACGTAAACCAGCGCAGAGCAATGCCAAGAAATGTAAAGCAGTATAATTCAATGCGAACCAGTGCAAATCAATACGAAGCAATGCAGTGCAACATAATGCAAAACAACGCAACGCAATGCCAAGCAAGGCAAAGTATCACAAATCCGCGACGAAGAGGCGACGGAGCGGCGACGGCGACAACGTAGCCGCCAGTCCAGCACTCAGGCCCGAACGGCGGGCGGCGGCAAGACGTCGACGGGGCGGCAACGGACGCAACATATCCGCCAGACGGGCAACCAGCCCCAACTCTTTACAACAGAAAAGAGAACCCTAAATACAAGTCCTGTTTGCGGAAAAAACTGCTTAAACATGGACACAATGAAACAACATAGAGGCAACCGAACACGGCACAAAAACAGCCCCTGGACTGGAACCGGATCCGGAACTGGGAGCAGAAACGGCCACGGAACCGGGGACAAATCGGCAAGGCACAGGTAGACAAAAACTGCACTGACGCTTCCGAGGCCAAGAAAATCAGACGGGGGTCGCGGATGTTCTGGTGACCGCAGGTGGCCCCCGCGACCCCGCGGGGACCACAGGGGCACGGAGTGCCAGCAGCCAGCGCAGAGCACCGAACACTGCAGCTGCGCCCCTGGCAAGAACCCGAGGGCCACAACCAACTCCGAGCAGGGAACGGAATCTGCAAGTCATCGTCTTATCCTGTGCCCTCATGGCCCTAGATCGGGGGCCCCAAAGCTGTGTGGTGGCGCACCGGGCGAAAATACATCACCGCTCGGTCCGTAGGTCCTCGGAGAGCGACCCGAGTCCCAAAACCGCGCGATGACCCCGAATGCCCACCGACTCAACACGCGGTGTGGTCACCGCACCGTTTGGGGACCCCCGACTGGAACATGGGCCACGGTAACGTTGATTTTGCTGGGGAGTGCCGACATCAATCCTTCTCCTTACCCAACGGCCCCAATCTTTGTCTAGAGGCCTCCACATTGGGGTCGAGTAGACGGGGTCGGAGGATCGCGCCGCATCGCCGATGCATCACCGATGCATCGCCGATGCGTCGGCGGCGTTGGCGATGCATCTGCGACGTCGGCGTGGAGAAAACCGGTCTCCACATCGAGCCGCATCGCCGATGCGGCCCCATCCTTCGACCCCACCTACTCGGACCCTACTTGGGAGGCCTAGAGATACACAGTCGAGGTCGATTGGAGAGGACACGCGAGAGGACGCAGAACCCTTCCGAGGGTCACATTAGGAATGTAGAAGGCACAGGTCGCGAAACACAGGACACAAGGATACCCCTGACTTGGCAAGGTCGACTTACGTAGAATGGGGGAAGCGGGTCCTGAAACCCAGGGCATTCCCCCAGGACCAACTCTGCATCCTGGATAATTTCCTGACAGTCCTGGGGCGTGGAGGGCCCCGAGAGCCCGAAAACAGCGAAGAGGCTTCAGGAACCGTTTCCCTCGTGCTGGGTCCACCTACCAAGCTGGGGAAACCAGCAGGTTCCGATACCGCTACTCCCCGGACCTCGCCTGGGGTGCGTTCTGACTACGCTCTCGAGGCGAATCCAAGCCTCCCAGGAGGCCCAAGAAGGCCGGAACGAGGGAAGGGTGGCAGTATGGGTACCTGTTCCTCCTCCGACAAGCAGCCTCGACCGTGCTCCCTCCAAGGTCTCCGCACTTCGCGCTCCCACGCCGCCCCCCCACGGCGAGAAGCGGAGGACGAGGAGGCGGAGACGAATCGCGAGTCGCGAAAAACTTCGCGACCTCGAGGGCGCCCTTGTCTCAACATCGGGATCACGGGTCATGTGGGCAACGGGTCTTCCCCCAAGGACGAGCTCTTCATCCCGAGTCGTTCTCGGGCGCTCCCAGGGCCCGTGGAGGGCCCCCGAGGGCCCGAGAACGGGGACAAAGCTCAGGGCCCGTCTCCCCCCCCTTTGGAGACTGTCTTTCTCCCCGCTGCGCGGCCGGTACTCGGCCACGGCAGCGGCCAGCGCCCGCGCCCGCGCCGCGCGCAGCGCACGCGCTGCGCCGGCGGACGGCAACGCCGCAGCGGGCGAGTCGCCCCGCGGCGAGCGCGCGGGGCCCGGCGGGGCCGGCGGCGGGGCGCCCGCGGCGCGGCGGTGGAGCTGGAGGACGTTCGCCTCGGCCCCCCAAGGATGTGACGTATCCGACGGTGGGCCCCTTGTGAGCCCCGCTGGCCCTGGGCGGTCTTCTCGGCGGTTGTCCGCGGTCTTCGGCGGCCTTCTGGCGGTTTTCGGCGGCCTTCGGCGGTCTTCGGCGGTCTTCTGCGGTCTTCTGGCAGTCTTCTGACGGTCTTCGGCGGTGTTCGTCGGCTTCTGGCGGTCTTCGGCGGCTTTCGGCTTGAAAGCAGGACACCTGCGGTTCACAAGGGGTCTATGATCGAACACCGAAAAGATGGGGAAGAGGACCCCTCGCGATCGTACGCGATACCAGGGACTATGACCCTCCTCGACATCAAACGCAAATTGTGACCCGACCCCGTCGCACCCGAATGTCAATGCCGATGGACGCGCGCAGCGCGGCCCGCGGGGTCAGGCAAAATATTGCAGTCATCAGTGTCGGCGTCAACATTGAAAATGGGGGGCCGGGGGGCGTCGCTATGTCATGAGGAAAACTTCTGCTTGATTTCGAGGAGGGGTGTCGGGCCTGGGCCGGGGCGAAAGCAGCACCCTGAATCTCAGCACTGCGCGCAGCTCTCCGATGTGTGTGTGTGTGTGGTGTGTGTGTGTGGTGTGGGCTTGTGTGTGCGTGTGAGTGTGCGCGTGCGTGTGCGAGTGTGCGCGTGTGCGCGTGTGCGCGTGTGCGCGTGTGCGCGCGTGTGTGTGCGTGTGTGCGTGCGTGCGTGTGTGCGTGCGCGTTCGTGCGTGCGTGCGTGCGTGCGTGCGCGTGCGCGTGCGCGTGCGCGTGCGCGTGCGCGTGCGCGTGCGTGCGTGCATGCGTGCATGCGTGCGTGCGTGCGTGCGTGCGTGCGTGCGTGTGCGCGTGCGTGCGTGCGTGCGCGTGCGTGCGTGCGTGCGTGCGTGCGTGCGTGCGTGCGTGCGTGCGTGCGTGCGTGCGCGTGCGCGTGCGCGTGCGTGTGCGTGTGCGTGTGCGTGTGCGTGTGGTGTGCGTGTGCGTGTGCGTGTGCGTGTGCGTGTGCGTGTGCGTGTGCGTGTGCGTGTGCGTGTGCGTGTGCGTGTGCGTGTGCGTGTGTGTGCGTGCGTGTGCGTGTGCGCGTGCGTGTGCGTGTGTGTGCGTGCGTGCGTTTTGCAACAGCCACCGAGCGACGCAGCTCAGGGCCAGCTCGACGGCCGACCCCGGCGATCTCCCGGCCACCCCTGGGGGCGACCGCCGCGGACAGCGCGCAGATCTGCCCGCCCCGCGAGGAGCGCGATACCCCGCAACGAGCCGCTCTCGGGCGAGCGCCCCTGCTTCTGTGGGAGGGGTTCGACCCCATCTGCTCGGGCTCCATCTGGGAGGCCTAGATCTCGGGAGGGCAAAAGCGCGATGAGCGCTTAGGGGGTGGCGAGGGGCCCGCGGAAGGCTCGCGGCCAGAACGGCCGTTCTGGCCGCGGAGGAGGAGCAGGAGGAGGAGGAGGGAGGAGAAGGGAGGGAGGAGGGAGGAGGGAGGAGGAGGAGGAGGAAGAGACGGCGCACCCAAAAAGGCCCGTCCGACCGCCGGCCTCGACCTCGGCCGACGCGAACGCATCGACGGAAGGAGAATGGGCTCGTGCTGGGTGGCACTTGGGTTCATTCTCGGCCAGCCGAGGGGCGTCGCAACCCATTGCCACTTCCGCCGCCAGCAGAGCCCACAAAAAGATGGCGCTCGAAGCAGACCAGATCCAACCGAAAGCTGAGAGGCACATGGCACTGCGGGAGAGTCATCGACCGCAACATGCCGACGCCTGAAGTGCCTCGATCATTCCCCCCCCACACAAACACAAACACACACACACACACACTCCAATGCCTGCATCAAACCACCACCCACCGAATAAAAAGAAAGACAGAGCACGAGCTTGATGAAACCATCTCACCGCTCGAACGCCAGCTCTGCAGCACCTCGAATGTCGCATGCGCGCTCAAGAGACATTGGTGTCTTCTGAGCAAAGTCCTTCGCGTTGTGATACATGTGGAATGCCAAGGATACCGCCTTCAGACATTCTTCGCGTGAGAGTTCCGATCCGCCCCCATTCCCAACGATACAACCGGCCAGCCTGGAAAATGGCGCCTTCTCCAGGCAGGGCGCATTGCTAAATGGTGATACTTCTCGGGCAAATCAGGTGGAGTGCAATCTCGTCGGGCACTGCGCAGCCCCAGATGCAGCTCGTGGGAGGGGTGCCTATGCGCAGTCTGTGCGTGGTCGTCCACGCCCCGCAGAGGGTCTTGAGAACGCCCATTGCCACGCAGGCTTGAGACTCGCAAGGCAGGTCCGACACAACGCCCACCGTCCGACCACCGACCTCAGCCCCCCTGGAGTCGGGACCTGCCGCGCGAGAAGCCGTATGCCCAGCGTTTGGGTGATGCGCCGTGGGCGCGGGCGATGAGCCCCCTGCAGAGCTAACTTGGCGCGCTCGCGCGCCGCGCGAAACGCAGCGTGCCACCCGTGCTTATCTGGGACGAGTGGGAGGGGGTGGAGGGGGCGGAAGCCTCGCTCGCTCCATGAATTGTGCAATCGAAAATGGGCGGCCCCAGCAGGGCGCTGAGCATTTACCTGCGATGAAGCGCACCATCGTAGCATTCTCTCGAGCATATGCTTTCAATCGGTGCAGTGCACGCTGCCAGGTATGATTCATTGTGCGAAATGAGGTGCGCCAGCTGCTAGCCCATCCAAGCAATGAGACAGAGGACGGGGCAATTGCGAGCAACGATGGCAGGGCGTTCAGGTCAGCAAGACTGAGGCTGCTCGGCGGCAGCCTGAGCACCTTGTGCAAAGCCTGACGTTCGAGCTTGCGAACCATAGCAGGGATAGGAAGCAGTTGGGCGAGATGCCAAAGGGTCGAGAGGGCGGTGGTGATATACAGAATTGAAAGAACAGACGGGCCAGCTCCAGAACATGGCAGAGCAATCGCCCTTGACCACCATTTCTCTGCTGCGGCAGCCCAAATCATTCTAAGTGTGGCTGCGGGGCCCATGTCAACTCTTAGATAGACCGCATGGCCAGCGATCTTAAAGTTGGCCAATTGCGGGATCCACCGACGGAGATGTTTTCGGACCCTGTCCTGGACGACGCCCGTGCACTCGGTCCACATGGGGACCAGGGCGCATTTGGCCCCTTGGAGTCTGAGAATGGCAAAACGCTCCACGTCCAGGAACACACGAGAAACACGGACCGGGTCTGGAAGGCGAGGCATCACCAACCCTACACCGTCAGCACAAACCCCGAGAGAGCCCGCATGGTGCCTCGCCTGCGGGAGCTGCGTGGCTGCACGCAGGGATCGAAGGATGGGACCCACTGCACGAGCCCAAAGGGGGCCAAATAACTGGAACCCCTGCAGGACCCCCGGGCAAAGATAAAATCGGAAAACGATTCGGTTTTGAATAATAGCAAACCCTCCGGGTGAAACGTATAACGCGTGGATAAAGTTCACGAAACCTCGCGAAAGTCAATCCTACTCATAATCTCGAACAACCACTGGTGGCCAAGATAAGGAAACGCCGCTTGCACATCGTTGGCGGCGAAGATCGGGAGGTCCTCCTCTGTCTCGGGAGTGATGCTGGCCTTGCGGGCCTCGGCGTCCAACGAGAGGATGCTGGACGAGAAATTACGCCCTGGGGTGAGTCCTTGTTGAGCCAGGTGGGTGCGCTCTTGGGCAACCTGACGGATCTGGAAGTTGGCTGCAGAGGCCATGATCGTAGTGTCCGTATTCCCGAGGCTAAGCGGACAAACCTTCCCTGGGGGCCGCGCGCACCCCTGGGCATCTTCGGGCCTCGAGCCTTTGGAGAGAAAAGCGAAGAGGCGATCAGTGAGCTCCAAGGGTACCGCATGGCCGCCGTACAGATATGTCATAAGCTTATCTGGGACAGTTAGTTTTTCGGGTCGAGCTTTCCATGCCGCGTAAGAAAGTTGATCAGGGCCAGGGGCTGGCCGTCGGGCAAGTTTAAGGGCGCGCCCTGGTTCGGGTTGAATTGGCAGTCTAAGAGGTAAGAGGTCTTGCTGGGGGGCAACTTGGTCGAGGTATTCCTGAAGGGGCCTCCTCCTGAACTGCTTTGGCGCCGAAGATGGCTTCCGCTGGGAGGTCAGCGCGGATGCAATCTGCTCGGGATCCCTGGCCACAGCCGGGGACGCTCTCTAGCTTTCGGGTCTGACCCCTGCGAGAACGAGACGATGAGCCTTAGGGGCCCAGAAGGAAGAGCGCCTCTTGTGCATCCTTGCCGCTCGTCTCTCATCCTCGACCACCGACCTCCCCCCCTTTGGACGTCATGCTTTCAGCAAGTCTGGCCTCCATCTGTCCGAAGTCGCAGTTGGCGGCGCGCGCGACGAGGGCGAACTCGCCTGTCGAGGGGCGCAACGACGCCGTTGGCCTGGCGTAGGAAGCGCTCGCCGTCGGCGGTGGTGGCATTCAGCTTCTGGGCCGTGTAGATGTCGCTGCGCCAGACACATCTGGCCATTGCTCTCAGGGTGATGATACGTCCTCCCTTGGCGCGGGAGTCTATAGCCGAGATCGGAAGTCGATGTAGTTCGTCAAGGACCTGACGGGCAGCCTCCGCCATGAAGTCTTTCATGCAACGCCATAGGCGCACAACTGGAAATCGATCAAATTGAGCCGCGTCGAGAAGTTGCCCAAGGATCTCTCCGTGGCGTGGGTCGCGACAAGCATGTTCTGGAAGGCTGGTCTGTTCGCCATGCCGAGCGACGAAGGACGATCGGCGCGCGGTCACTGAGCCTGGCGTCGGAGACGGCGGCCGCGCCAATGTCAACTTCAACTAAAACTTCGACGTCTAGCAGACAGTGAGCTGGTGTTCCGGTAAAGACGCGGTCCAGCGTGGCCGCGGTTGCCGTGTCTCTGCAATAGTGCGCGGGGCAATCTGACGAGATTTCAGTGAGCATAACGTTCCCAGTATGCTTGCAGGGGTTGAGATCCACGACGACGCTCTGTAGCCACAGTGCCGGGGGGGACGCCCTCCGACACGGGGTCCA